CAYMTYYYCCCCCTGAATACATCCCAGAGCACCCAGCCACCCTCAGCTGCAGAGAAATAACACAAAATATCAGCAAGGGTTTATCACAGTGTGGATCTGATTCAACAGCTTTTATTTTCCTCCTTCAGCCCTCATGCTCTGCTGGCTCTTCCCCACATCTCTCCCCCAGGTACCTCCAGCAGCTTTGTGGAGATCTCATCACTACAAAGTCCTGCAGGAGGCAGAGATGATGCCTCATTTCCCACCCTCTCCCTCCATGTGGGCTCCTGTGACATCGAACAGAGCCTGGTGGCAGCCTTTCCTCAGTCAGCACGAACAGTGCTCCCAATCCCCCAGGTGTGTTCCCTTCTCCCACCCCCACCACTCAGATCTGGGATGAGCCAACACATCGATGTGACAATGGCATCAGTGACCTTCACAGAGCCTTTTTTGCAGTTGTGTGACCTCAGTTCTCCCCCATGTGAAACAGGGTCACACTCTTCTGGACTGCAGCTGAGGTTTGTGAGCCCTGKGAGCAGCACAGCATCCCCAGGGTCCCAACCACAGCACCAGCACCTGGAGGAGCTGGAGRGTGACCTGCAAGGCACCAGTGACTMTAAAGGCAACACAAAACACCCAGYTGCACAAGTGGTAGCTTTTCCTTTAAAACAGCAGCTCGTCAGTACTGGCAACTCTGAGTTTTCCCAGCACACAGCCAAACAAGTCACTGCTGCTATTCATGAAGCTGAAAGCAAACACAGAAGTTGTACTCTGCAAGCTCCCCTCRAAATTCCTACCCTTATTTAACAGCCAAAGGAATTTGGCACACACAGGGAGAGTCTGAGGCTTTGGGATTACAGTGTTGCAGGCTGCAGCTTATGCTCGTCTGTCCCARCCAGGCAGACACGAGCCCTGAGCATCCTGTCCCTGGGGAAAAGGCTCCTCCTGCCGAGAGCCAGCGGGGACAGAGCACTGCCCCGGGCTCAGCCGGGCAAAACAGAGCTGGAGGCTGCAGGAATCTCATCCAAAAGTGCTGCAAGGGGAGGCAGGTACAGGTGTACAGCCAGGGCAGCACAGAGAGGTGACAAGGCTTGCAAGGAGAGGCTGCCCCTCTGTGTCTTGGACAGAAGGGAACAGCTCGGTCGTGGTTAACAGAGTCTTTGGGAAACTAATTTCTCAGGAAGCTGCTGGTGATGATTCGTGCCAGCTGCCAGACACAGAGACCGAGTTCTCCTKTAGCCACTGCGGAGGTGGGAGCTGCTCAGGCTTCCTCCCGAGCACAGGGCTGCCTGCCCCGGGAGTAGCCTCACCCAGGGATGGCAAAGCAGCGCTGTCTCCTGGGAACAGCATGGCCTCACCCTTGGAGCTGCCGAAAAGCACACAGGCACTGCTAACACCCACAACTGCAGCACAGCACTTGTCTAACGTGGGCTGGACAGAGGCAGYTCATCCCCSCTCTTCCCTGTCCCTCTGCCTCCGATGGCRTTGAGGAGCCCATGGTCATGAGTGMGTTTGAGGACCTGGGGCACGTTGATGTAGGGGGACCTGCAGTGCTTTTTCACAGAGACACCAAAGACACAAAACTTTCAGTGTGTCACTGAGGGTCTCTCAGAACAGCTCTGGCAAAGCCCAGGAACTGAACCCAGGTCTCCCAGCACCCAGTCCTGGCACTAGGCTCCAGACATCTTCCCACATGTGAGTCCTGAACCCTCAGTCAGAGGTTCATGACTTTGTCACAGACACCACAGCTGATTTGACCTTCAGATGAAAGTCTCCAGCCTGGTTAGCAGTGTCCAGAGCCAGCGAGGCTCCCAACACACCGTGATTTTAAAACCATGTTTCTGCCAACACCAAGATGTTAAAGCTCTCTCAAACTTCATTATGAAGTGTGGAGAGTGGCTTGAGCCAGACTGGAATCTTGGCAGCAGTTCTGTGTCAGGGAAGCAGCTACAGTTTAATCCWCAAATGAGGAAGGACTTCTCAGGGCATGACAAGTGTGGAGCTCAGCTGTCACAGTCTGCCACCCACCCTGAATTCCTGGGAAAAGTGCTGATGTGTGCAGCTCTGCTCAGCATCCTGCACTCAGGCACCTGAAGTGAGCCCAGCTTGCAAGTCCAGTTTGTCCTGAAGCTGCTCTGYTCTTCACAGCATCCTTTTCCCCCAGTCTTGTGACACCAAGGTCTGTTGTGACCTGTGGCATCACATCATTCAGATTTCTGACTCCTATTCCAGGAGGGGAGCAAAGAAAGCAGCTTAAGCAAAGCATCACCACCATCTGACATTTGCAGTGTTGCAACTGAAGGAGATGAAAAAAACACATGGAAAAGGAGAGGGAGGAAGATACCTGCTGAAGATCAGAAGCTCTTGACTGAAAATGTGTGGAAAACACAACAGGCAGGAAAAAAAGGATTGGTAACAAAACAGGAAAGCCTTTCCCGTGGATGTCGCTGAAGCCACAAGCCCTGGCACAGGAATCTGCCAAAGCAGAGGTTCAGAGGAGCCACAGCCTGCCCTGCTCTGCTCCTCAGGGAGCCAAAGGGGTGCTCAGCGCACTCAGCTGAGAGCAGGAGAGCTCCAAGARCTTCCCAGAGAAGCAAACCACCAGGATCTGCCACCCCACTGCAAATCAGGCATCATTTCCAGCRTGTTTGCTGAGGCTTCTCACAACATCCCAGGGAGTGGGGTAGCTCCCAGGGACAACCTGGAAAGCTCCACCAACAGCCACTGCTGTACCCAGATCAGARCCAGCACATGGCTGTCCTTGGAGCTGCCTGGTCCCAGTCAGATGAGCTTCAGGAGCTCATCCATGCACAATTCCCATCTGGGAAACAGCATCTCTTGCTCGTGGCTCTAAGGGCCCGCCCAGGCAGAGGAAATCTGAGGAAGGAGCATGAGATGACTGATGAACTGATTTGGGGGTGCAAAGCTGCAACAACTGGAGAGGTCAGGATGCACTGAGGGATGGCAGCCAACAAATGTCACTCGTCAGCACTCAGGGATGTGTCCCCCTTGCTGTCAAGGAAGTGTCACTGAACACAACATCCAGASGTGACAAAGGAAAGGGGAAGAGTGGCACATTCTTGGATCAAAGCCCCAAAAATGAGGTCAAAAGAGAAAGGCTGATCTCTGCCATGACCCAGGCAGGACAGCCTGTCACATACAGGAAATGCCTTCCCCCTTCCTGGATTTCCCCTGCCCTTTGACACTTACAAACAAAGCTGTTTGTGCACAAAGACCACATGAGAGGGAAGGCGTTAAACTTGTTTCCACATCACAAGAGAAGGTTTTGTTACTCTGCTCCACTCAGCCGTTTCAGTTTGTGCCCAAGGAGACCTCAGTGACCCTCAAAGGCTTCTGTTCATTTTTATTCAAGACCGAGGTTGAAAATTTCACCATGGCTGACTGGTGGGTTTCAGGATAACTGGAGGAACTTGCCTTTTTGACTGAMAAAKAATCCAGAAACCAAGGAATCCAAGCTCTCTTTTGCCTCCTCTCATGGCACTGAAGTCAGATACCCACCCAGTGGGTCCAAACCTGTACATACAGAACTGGACTATTGTCTTCCAGGGACCATCATCTTCATTACAAGTGCATCAAAAAGCATTCAGAACAAAGCTGGTGGTAGTTCCTCCAACTCTTGATTCCAATTCCCTGATTCACAGACCCGCCAAAACTCTACACCCCCCTACAGAAAATCAGTTCTGAAATCAGATTTCAAACCCATCAGGTTAAGTAACCGTATCTCCAAGCACTTGGGAAGAAGAGAGYCTAAGAGCTCAAATAAATAAGCTCTCAGGTGCATATTTGGTTCCMAACACCACCACACCTACTCCAGACAGACCCTCACAACCATCCYTTCAAAGCCCACCAGGCAGCTCATCTGTGTAACACTGACGAGAYCACTGCACCTCAGACCAGTGCCACAGCTGGTGCAGGGACAAGAAGCTCCTTTGCCATCACATTGGCATGGCAGAGACCATCACTGTGGATCAGACCTTTGCTCCTTTTTCCTGCAGCCCCAGCATTTCCAGTTTCCCTAACATAAAGGCAGTTCCCCGGGAGAGAACATAACCAGAGGAGTTTCAAATATTCTTCTAAAGACACTGGATTTAAAAAGTAACAAACAACCTGCAGCTACAGGAGCGTTTTTGGAGATCATTGTGTCTTCTGCCTTGGCCAAAGGGRAGGAAGAAGATTCTGTTTAGCTCTGGGCATGTCTGGTTTGCACATCTTAGCAAGAGATTAAACCCAGGAAACAAAGTTATCATCGACCTCCTGTGCCCTGCTGTGCACAGCAATACTGGACTGTCCTTCAGTCCCAAGATAAAAGGCCAAGGACACAGAGACAGATGTTTCTGTGCCAGATTACCAGAGGAATCATCAGCTCCTGTCTTTATGAACAATCAGGTGTCAGTGCTACTGCAGAGCAGCCCTCCAGCAAGAAGGAGGAGTGCCCAGAGAATGTCTGGGCAAGATCAAAAAGCATCAGTCAGCAGCCTGAGCACAAGCCCTGGAKCAGGTGCCCCTCCACCTGTGCCCAGCCAGCACCACACAGCCATAATTCAAAGCTGAGAATGCCCCTTTGTGCCTCAGCTCTAATCCTGCACACCCAGAGCCTCTGCCTGTCCTGTTTGGAGGAGCTCTCTCCATCCTGCATTCACATCCCACGTGTGCTTCAGGGAGCAGACGCCTTTTTCCAAGCACATTTCTCTCCAAGATGTGGAGTCATAAGGGAATTAAAGACATAGAAGGGTTTATGTGTAACAGGACTTCAAATAGCAATCCTAATGCACTGGAATAAGCTCTGGGATTTATTATTCAATTGACTGGAAAGCAAGAAAGAGAGAAGGATTTCCCTGTGGCATTACTAGTTCTGAGGCTGAGGGGAAACATCAGCTACAGGCCAATCTCCTGGGTGACAGATCCCCAAATTCTCCTACTGACCCTGTAGCAACAGAGTTTTCAAAAGCACAGAA